TGTACTTAATATAACTAAATAATATAACAACAATAACATATTTGTCTTTATTAATTTAATTTTACCTTCCTCGTCATTAGCATATTATATATTGTAATTTAATACTTTAGAATAATATTTAAATGCATCATCAACAGTTAAATAAAATATGTTGATACTAATATTTATTATTCTTGGGATTCTTTTATTTTAAATAATACTTATTTAGATAGGGGGTACCAACTATGCTAAAACATTATAATAAACATCAAAGTTCAATAGCTCWATAGATCATWGAACATTTTTAWCGACTGTTTATATTACAAAATGTATTAATACTACGCTTCGTTTATAATATATTTGGTAAAATAAATACAAACCATTTATAGTGGAGAKAAATCATAAGATTTGCATTTTTATTTCGCTATACGAGTATAGAAATCTATGGTTTATTGTTAATCTGAAATTAAAATGTTAAGAATTAGTAGATTTCTGTAGTTTTTTATATGAATATGATTTTGTAGTAAAATTGAATAATTTTAATATACATATCATCATTGGTTATATATTAACAATGTATACACACTTGCAAGAAATCRAATGTCTTGGGCCTAATCTATTTAATTCTATTTTCATAACATATTTTAAAAACATTTAAACTTGAAACTAATTTGGGTGCATACTATAATATAGGTAGCCATAACGTATAATTATGTCCGGCAAGTTTATATTTTTATAAAATAATTTATTGATTTGACCGTGTTTTATGATTTGATATTTTTATCTAACTGGAATTTACCTATTATTTAGATAAATAACTTACTTACTAAACAATTTTATTTTTATAAAATAATATATATTATAATTATTATAATAATATATATATATTAATTTATAATATTCCAAGTATTATGTTTATGTACTTCACCCTGTTCTCTATATAATTTCTGCCRTTATTGGCATATTCCTACATTATAGGATAAGATATATCGTTATATTATAAGCATTTTTACTGATCAATTATAAATTTGATGGCATGAAATAATAATGACTATAGCAAATAGTTAGGAATAATATTATTTTTCATTATTATGTTTTTACTTAAAATCKGAATTGAACATTTAATTTTTAATGAATTGGATTAGTCAATTATATTATATTACGCAGTGCAACTAAATGTACATCATTGAGTGTTAACTACATGTAAATAAATAAAGTACAATATATAGGTACATTCAGACTTCTATTTACAATATTATTATTCATGATATATTTAAAGTAATTATTGCACATTATAATTTAGGCCTAAATTTWACAGGAACTGATGTGAAACAATGGATATATTGTTTAAATAGCATTTTAATAGATTATAGGTAATTTACTTGTGGTTAACTGAAGTTTTTATTGAATATAATTAAGTAAACATTTATAATATTACAATTGTATTTTTCATGAAAACGTTGGTCATCAATCATCATATATAATATAAGGGCCCTTTTTGGATTAGGTTAGCTTGAGTTGGGTTCTTTACTTTTTATTTAAAAATAATGTCTGATGTTTTTGATATGACCACTATTGTTGTGAGATGCTTCACGTCAAATATTTTGAAATTAGTTATACCAAGAAACTTATTTCTCTTTTTTGTAGTGTAAAAATGAAATTTTATTATTATTTTTTTTTTAATCAGAGATAACTTGGTAAACTCTATTCTCCATTGGTACTTATTTATTTTGGATCATTCGTGTATTTTTCATATACGACAGGAAATTTGGTTAAATTTGTTCACTAACCTATAACACCTATAAACCGATATGCCTATAATTATTCACAAGCTTAGATTAGCAGGTATCACACTATCACATGCCATGTCCAAAGCCAATCAATAGTTTAGCTCTTCCTGTTCATTGTTGTTTGTAATTTTGCCGTTAATGTGATATCTTTTTTATTMTATTATGTATAGTTACTATAGTTTTGCAATACTCTTTGTAATCGTTTTATTATTATTCATTATAATAATTGTTATGTATTATAGGTATAGTATTSAACACCTCAAATGATTCATGTGAAAGATGTGGTTGGATTGTAAAGTGATTAAGAATACTATATAATAACTATGTATATAAAATAAACTATAAACTATATAAGTAAAAAAAAAGTTTCGCTTGAGGGATTCCTCTCTTCCTCAAATAGTCGTGACTCTATATTTCCACGAAGTATAGAACAAAGTAAAAGAACAATAATTTTATAATATAATTGAGTTAAATAAGAGTAAAAATAAACACAGTTAATAAATCAAAATATTCGTATTTTATGTTGTTAATACTAAAACCAGAAAAACCTAATGAAAAGTAATAAAGTTCATTATATAACAATTTTTGGTAGACACAAATTACTAAAATTGTTATTGTATCCATCTATATATCTAGTATAATAACGATAGTATTAAAAAATTATGTGATATTAGATAACTGTCATAATTATTAATATTCAATTATATCGGGTGTATGTGAAATCAACACTGAAAAAAATATAATTGAGCAGATAAAAATATGACTATTAGTTTTTTATAACATTTGTTAATTTAATTTGAAACATTCAAACTAAGTATGAGCTTAGATACCTCTTAATTAAGTATAGGTCTATCGTCTATATATTTAATAATTTAGTTTAATGAATATATTAGCCCTTTACCACAAATTCATATCTCACTAACCTGGCATTTACGTTGACACAATTAATTTCATTACATCATTACATTTAGTTGTTAACCATGTTTGAACATAACTTAATAGTTTATAGTATAGGTATTGTAYAAAATAGGACTTGCGTGCAATTTCTTTATCTCTCGTTTTGTACATATCTACTGGTCAATTTAATTAGAAAGTGTTTGATGTAACACAATGTATGAGCAGTAGGTACGAGATTTATAGAACATAATTTTTATTACTCCCATACTGAGAAAGTCACAKATTTGGCATTTTTCAATCACATATATGAGCATATTGCAAGCGACTAACGCGATCACACTATCGATTGCCTTTTTTATTTTAATCTGGTTGCTTAGATTTTATTAATCATTTAATATGAATTTAATGTTTATAAATATACGAATTATGTCTATGGCTAATACATATAACTGTTGTTACGAACAGTGTATTAACACGAATACCATCGTGATTTCCCTGCATAGGTACTTTATTAGGATCAATTTAYAGCTACTAGTTAGTATAAATTGGTGTTCACATAAACGACATTGTTTAAATTATATGATGCATTTATGCGGGAGAATAACAATATAAAAAATGCATTAATTTATTGTACTTTTTAGTATAGGATAGAATATATATGATACCCCTATCGTAATTTAATTTTCCTCGTTAATCTGCATATACAATTTCGTTTAAAAGTTGTTTTCAATGCTTTCATAGTACAGTAGTTGAGAAATTTAATCAAATCGATATTTATTGTTTTATATTAATCATAAGGAACTCTTTGTGAGTTAGGTTAGTGTATTACTTTCCTTAACTGTTGTTGAAGAATTAAATGTGTATTCTTCAAAGWAAATGTGCTTAACWATATACTGCTGAACTGCGAAAAACCCCTGATGCTCAACGTAAGGAATTATTTTACATTGCCTACCTGCAGGCTACCTAGGTACCCATTAAAGAAGTGTGTTAAGCAGACCGTAATTAATTGAAGTCTCAAAAAGAAAACGGATGTTATATATATATATATATATATATATATATATAGCATTAAATATGATGCACCAGGACAAGACTATATACAAAAATATTTTTTTTTGCAAAGAGAAATTTTAAATTTTGTAATTTTGCTATAAATCATTGAACTATATTGGTATTATAAGCTTATTCAATTTTCATTTAAATATTAATCGACCTAATTTCATTGATTACAATTATTGAATATAAATTAATATAAACAGTAACAAAATATTGTGATGTAATTAAAATTTAAAAGTAATATAAATTTGGGTTTAATGTAATTTTATTATAACCGATCTATTTCCAAGTGTTTTAACCATTAAAATTCGATTAAAAGTTCTTTATTATGGTATATGGACGGAAATTACGGTAGGTGGCTTTTAAATTAATGTTTCCTAAACTATACGAAGGAAACAAGATATAGAGTAATTGGTATCAACAATCAACAACCTAAAAAGTCGTATGGGYATGGCCATACGATAAAGATGAGATTAATTAAGAGTTTAATTTCGTAGCTTAATTTATCATAACTATCACAGAGTTTGATAAAAACGCATTAAATATTATAGTCTGCAGACGACACATATTATGTTGTATACGTCTTGTATATATAAACTATAAAGTGAATTAATGGTTTGGCAGACGATGGTGTCTCGGAAAAGAATAATAACCCACTTGTATAATACGGGTGCAGTTTTCAATAAAGAGACGCCAAATTAGGGTTACCCAAGTCTGACCAGTTCTATTGTATTTTCTTTGAGTTGAAGTGCAATAACAACGTGTAGTATTTTGTAGTTGACAGCTGTAAGTATATTTAAATCAAATTTGATGTGTATCAGATAAATAAATGATCAAAATATGTACATAAAGGCGCTGTAAATATTTTTGAGGAACAAAAAATGTCAAAATAATCTTTATGACACATTATTGACAGCTCTGCAGTTATTTCATTCCAATGAGTAATAATGGGATGCGTATATTATTCTGTATTCATCATCATATTATTTACTATATTTTTGTGTTTGTTATAGATATGGAACCGGACATTGCAGATAAGAAGCCTGATAAACAACTGATTGTCAAAATGGCTGGTTATTTAGAAAAAAAGGGTAGAATGGTTAGTTTAGTATAGATGGTATTATATTATAGAATTAATTTTATGTGTGTCATCAAATTAATCTTAAAACTGTATTTTATTATAATATATAATAGTATATTGAAATGTAATGCTTCACAAATAACAGCATGATAAGAAATTCATTAAACCTTATTTTGCATATAATTCACGAGCTATTAATATTATTTTATTTTTTATACTATATTATCAATTATTAACCACACACATGTGTATGTATACTCTACAGTGTACATATATATATATATATATATAACTTTGTCTGCACAATAAAAATATATTTTTAAAATATATATTAATGCAGGCTAAAGACCTTTGATGTCGAAGACTTAATAAATTTATAAAAAAAAAAAAATATACAATACTCAAAACATGCATATTTATTTAAATTTTAACTGTTTTAGCTTAACCGTCTGTATGTATACATCGTACATATTATTAGGTATTATTTATTGTTCATATATGGAAAAAATAATTATAAATGCGATACATTGTTTAATTCTGGAAATTATTKTTGATGTTAACTAAGAATCTAATTCTAATACCAAACACCAATAATTTAAAAGCATTATTTTCTGAAAAAATTTAAAGTGTTTGAAATTATTTTTTATCGTAATAATTATAATTATGATTTTTTAACATGAACAATACGTCAATTTTGTGAAAAATAATTAAATATGAGAAAACTATTGGGGAATGTATTTACTGATGTGTACCTATAGGATATTTTGGTTGAGTAGGTCACTATAGTCTGTAATGAATATGTTAATATTAATTATAAACTCAAGGATAAAACATTACATATTATATATAAAACGATTCTGAGTGAAGAGTGTCTAAACTATTTTTTAGTAATAGATACACTATGTTGGATTTAATTAAAAAAAAAAAAACATCGGATAGGTATCCCTATTATAAAAATTTTTGATAATAATAATATATACTGTAGAGTTATTAACTATTTTTACWAGTTGAAATAGACGTACACTTGAATGGTGTAAAATTGTTTGTTATATAAATAGCTTAGAGTTAATCTAAATATTTTGAAAATTGGACAACTTATAAAAAATACTAAATTTACGCTTAATTTATCATAGAACTGAAAATCCTATGAATTCTATGGTTCTATAAACCATGCATTGAATTTYCATAGTTGTTAACTCTAAAAAAAGAAGGGAGTAATGCTTTGCATAAGAATTTTATGTACCGAGTGTATCTCGTTATTGAGAAAGTCACTGCAATATATGTTATAAAGTCGAATTCAATGACAAATCATTGTAAACGACAAAAAAATTCTGGGAATCGATGGCCTATCTAAAATTTTGTTGATACAATATTTATGAAACAAAATTTTTGGATGTAAATCATAATTCGATCGAATGAATAATTTATGATGAGTTATATAAMATTGTGCAATAAAGATAATATATGTCTATAGTAATTGGTTAAGTAATTTTGAGGGCTTAAATCATTTGAAAATATTAGTTGGTAATTAATATTGTGGTTTATCAATATAGGAAATTTGTAAAACTACCCYTAGAACTTTAGCTACTTTTAAAATAAATACCATTAACTCATTTTACAGAGAGTTGTTGGCGTACGTCGTTGGAAAAAAAGATGGTGTGTACTTGAAGGCAAACTGTTGTTGTATTTTAAAACTCAATTAGAGTACTCTCATCATTTGTCACCTTGCAGAGGTTCAGTCAACATGGGACTTGCATTGTCTATAGCACCACGGGGTCCGTGTCAACTGCAAATCGTCACTAGATCTCAAATTATAATCTTCGTAAGTGTAGTCACTAGTCACTGTCACGGAGTTCTTATCTAAATTAAGATATTAAATAACATTAATCTAATATAAAACTAATAAATAATGAATATTTATAGTCTWTTATTATATTAAGTACAAGTGTACACTATATTACAAATTTTTCTGATGAACTATTTGTTTAAMATTTTTCGCATTTTAGTAGAATATATACATAATTATTGATGGAATTAAGTGGATRTTATAAAGTATCTGAGTATACCTATTTAAATTTAATTTCTAACTATCTCAGTCCGAAAATGTTTTAAACTAGAGCTGATTAGCATTTCTTTGTCATCTTTCAAKATTTTTTCGTAGTCTTATTAAAAATTACTCGGAATTTTGAAGAAAATGATGGATAGCTAAATTATTTAGATCAATTATAATTATTGTAAATTATAGAAAGATCTTAATATGTACACATAATATTATTGCTATCAAAAACTTAAGTTTGGATTAAAAATAGAATATTAAAAACATTCTAATTTAATTTCATAGTTATCAATTTATTTTCAAAAAAAGACACACACACAGAATATCAAATTTAATTTTACTCAACAAAATGTATAACTTTTGTAATATTGAAATTATTTTATTTTTTTATGTAGGTACAAATTTTTTCATTTTTTTTTTCTAGACCTTTTAAAATATTAAATTCTTATTATTTAATTAAGAATATTATAATATCTAATTAGATCAGAAAAGTGATTATAAAAAAGAACCATTGATTATATTACAGTGTTATATGTATATATACCTAACAATCTTCAAGTTGTATTGGCTAAATTTAGAGAGGATTTGAATGATGCAGTTTCACACAGCATGTTATAGATGCTTGATCAGCGATTATATATCATTAATCATTATGAAAGGTTGAAAGTTGAATGATTTAATTACCTAAATAAATTTTGGAATTCTGAATATTTATGTGAGTATTTCTAAATTTCGATGAAGTGCATATAATTTATGCTTAATTATGATGGTGTTAATATATCATAATATAGTTATATACAATTATGATGTTACTTTCAATTTAACTGATTATCATTATGCTCATTTAACAATATAACATACCTAGCATCTACCAAATACCAATGCCATCATTAAAATACAGTAGTATACGATAATTTAATAATTGCAAGATTATTTATAAAAAGAAACATATATAAATGTTCCTATGCGATAAAATAAAATACTATATCGTATATTATAGCTTTAAACGTGTGTTACACAGAGTGGAAACGATGGAAAAGTTTTATACAAAACATAATACCATAGTGAATTACAAGTTAAAGTAAATTACACTAATGCGAGGAGATTCATGCGTGTAATGACGTATATTGAGCTTGTTAGCTATAATAGAAATATATTGTTATTATACATATATAATATATATATAGTAGCACTTGATGGTTAAAATATGAATTAATTTATAATATATCCTYTAAAGAAATTATTATAATTGGGTTATCTTTGTGGTCGAAATTCCTTAAAATGTTTTTATAATTTTGTTTTTTAGAGAACGAAATCGAAATCTGACCTAGATGAATGGTTTGCTGCTTTGCGAGATGCTAAAAATAATAATTTGGCTTTTATTCGCGACCGAAATTTGTCTATTATGGAAACGAACTACCAGTTATCCTACCGRATACCTTTAGTTGATCCCAACTCCAATAACTACAGTGTCATAAACGAAAATCACTTGCGATATTGCAGAMCAGTTGTTAGACAGTCGTTTGCAACACACAATCAGCAGAATGACATTCGTCACGTTATGGCCATCAACAGGAAATCGTTGGCACTGCGGAAATCAGAATCTGACCACCGGATAAGTTTCTACAGGAAGGTTCACGGCCTCGTTCGTACCGAGACAATAGCTGGATCGTATCCGATGAGCGACAAGGGATCTTGTCGTTCGAGAAGTTTGTCATACGAAAGCATTTATTTTAAGCCACAGGAAAAGTGTACGCCAATTGAACCTGTGAAATCTCAAAGCTGTAGAGAACTTATGCCCAAGATCGTAAGACAGTTGTCTGATAAATGTACGAATAACTGTGTGTCAAAAAGGATCAGTAGATCGGTATCGTTTTTCGGAAGGCGTCGCGAAGATTCTGATTCCGACGATTATGACTATGTTGAAATTGTACCAAACGACACTACTAAAAACTATTCRGCACGTAAGTTTATATTAGGTACAGCTATATATCGTTAWATATAGAACCTATAATTGTTATAAAACTAATTTTTTAATTCATCGCAACGCACTAATTATTATTTAAAGATACCAAACAAATTTACTCGCACTTTAAAATAATTATAAAAATTTGCATTTACTGCATATTAATTAAAATACGTGTATATTTATTTTTAAGCAATTACAGAAGATGACAAATCCGAACTACATCCAGAGTTACCTCCTCATTATGAGACTAAAAAAGACGACGAAAACACTTCGATGTCAACATACGGAGAATTTCATAATCAAGAAGTAAATGTGGACGTTATATATGTAAATAACGATCGTAAAATGAAAATGTTTACAAGTGAATCGGAATCAGATTTCATACTCGAAAATAGGACTGAGGAATCAGTTGATGTGGGAAACGAGCCACCACCTTTGCCTATAAAAAACAAACATAAACAAAATGTTTTATTTGACGAGAAGCCACAATATAAAATAATAGATGGTGTTTACGTTTTTAAAAATGTAAGTGCTCTGATATCCATGAACTATGTCTGCACATTAAAATAAAGTAAAACTATATATATTTGTAAAATGTAAAATATATATATATAGATTTGTACCTACATTGTACGAGACGTAGATTTGTATGTCTACCTTTTTGTCGTCAAAAATTGCATGCAAAACAAACAAGTGGTTTCATAAGAAAATTTATACTTATAGCTATATATTTAATTACATTTTTATGGAGGTGGTCATATCAAAATTTATTAATTTGGGGGTCATGAAAAGTTACGAGGTAATTTATAATATGTATGTAGTAATTAGATACACAGTGCACTCGTAACTCATGAAAACTATCGTTTTTTTTTTAAAATTTATATGATATTTTAGTCATAATAATTGATAATTAAAGTTCATTATATTTATTTATGTGTACAGGAAATATTAGATTCTATTATATTTGTGCATATATTATTATTTATTATAAAATAATTTATTATTCTAAATAATATGTRGGATTTTTTTATAAAAATTATCGGTTTTAGGGCTCTAAAGAAGTGATCTACGACGTTCCTATTCCCCATGGAAAACTTATCGAACATATTCGTCGATTGACCATAACTTCCACGTCTTCGCCGGTCAAGCATTACAGTGACAACGTCGCGTACCATGATTCATTGGAGCCTTCGGTTTATGAGTAAGATATTGTGAACAATTCGAGACTAAGACATACCAAAAGTCAAATTATTATTTTTATTTTTTTAATGTTTAGAACGTTACAAATGACTCCTGACTCGTTAGAAATTTCAATGATGTTTCCCACGTATAAGAGATGGTCAAACGATTCGGGATTCAATAATTACGAAGAACAAAATTCGTTTTTACCTGATCATACCAATTTTGAAGATTCCTTAGAACCGGTCATAACCATGATACACCATGATCGCAAAATATGGCAAAACGTGCCAAATATCAACTCTGCCGACTACTTCCATTGACTGTAGTATAATATAACGTATTTATAAGCATTAGAAAATGTATACGTGTTGTGATTTTTTATTTTTTTAATGAACTTTCCATTGTAACAGATATACTCTTGTTATTTGTATAGTTGTATATAATATAATATTATCTAGGTATATGATTCCATTGATTCCAACAAATTTGTTGTGCAGAATATATTATATATTGTTTTGTTTTATAACACTGCAGTTAGTACGCTGAATTATGGTTTTAACAACAGTTTTAAGCTTTGAATATTATAGGGACATTTTAAATTTATTATTCTAATTATTTCCAATTACAAAATTGTCTCAATAAATAAAAGCTTAACAAAGCACATTTTGCATGCAACCAGTGTTCGGAACGTTAAAAATTTTTTTAATTCGTTCTTGTTTAGAGTTTAAAAAAGGAACTAGGGCATGTTCGTGATGGTTTTTTTAAATGAACATATTCACGTTCACGTTTGTTGTTTTATGTCAAGCCACCCTACTAGAATTTCACGAATAATTCGGAATCCAATAAATATATTAGGAATATTTCAATATTATAATAGAAATAAGTTATTATTTAATATCATAATCATATTATTAAACAACATTATATTTACTAAATAGTCTTAAAAATCGTTCAAATTCATTAAAAAATATAAGCGTCCTCGTTCACGTATATAGGTATCGTTATCTAAAATATAAACCTGAAAACCTGCGTTCATAAATGACGTTCTTTACAAACACAGCATGCTTTATACAAACAGTAGGTAGGTATAGATTTCTAAGACTTAACAGAAACTAATCCAAATAATTTGCAGACGAATTTTACGCTGAGTAAATACTCTGATGTATCAYAATATGCAGTGAAAGGATACTATTATTAAAATGGCTCATATTACAAATATATTTAAAACCAAATTCAATAATAATAATTTATAGTTGCAACAAATGACAATATAGGCATATACCTATTATCAGTTTTCGTATTACAACCATTTTTTTAAATTTATTTAATATAACGCTAATACATTTTTAATTGTGTACATATTTTAAGACGTCCTTCGTATAATTGATTGTTCGTAATTAAACAGCTAAAATAATAATTAATGAGTATTGAAATAGTTTGAAAAAGAAACGGCTCGTGTGGTATTTATTTACCTGTAATAATATGAAATATTCGTTTAACTATAAAAAAAAATAGCTCCGAAGGTAATGGCAACGCCATCTTTTATTATTGATATCAACGATTTGACGTAAGCGCGCGAAACATTTATGCTAGCCTACTAAATTATTATTAAAGTAACGATGTGTGGTGCGTCGATGATTTATTTTTCAGTAACTTTCATTTAATTTACGAGTATTATAGTGCGGTAATCCGAAGATAACAATTAATTATGATTTGGGGATTGGTGCTGTGTGCCCAGTGCCGRTCCAAAATACAAGCGAACTGGGCGGTTGCACGGGGTACTACTTTTTTAGGGGCGCTTTTAATATACGAATATTTTATAAATTTTAGCGTAATATTTATTCAAATTGACAATAATATAGCTAAATGACTAAATTATCTATGACACAATATTCTGTTATATATATATTTTTTATAGATTATTTTACTCCACTTTCCAGTTTTTATTATTATATTACAAATAATTTAAAAAAAAATACACAATGATATATAATCATTAACTCGGGAAAACCAAAAAGGTGTGTGTTACAGCCGATACGTCTATAAATTGTATCCAAATAAGTTTTGCAATCCTTTACCTATTCATAAATATAAGAATTTAAAATGTTGAATTTTGTTTAAAACAAAATATATTTTGTAGGTACATAAGTATAATGTAAGTATAAGTATTATGTAGGTACATAACACATAAGTATAAAAAGTATTAAATGTATTATGGAGAGCGTCTTTCAAAAATTGCCCACGAGTCTAGAAATAATAAAATACAAAATACAATACAACATTAATTAATATTTACCATAAATACTTATATGATATAGCATTAGCATACTATATTTGCCAAAAAATAAGATGGCGGAACCCGGCTTCAACTAATGCTCAAAGATTATTTTAGTTAGAATAAAAGTCAGTGCTGTTTGCTCGGAAAAGTATTAAGTGATAAATTAAAAAATAATCGATAGAAAACCACACTCATTATTGTACCAGTTATACAAGTACCACACCCCCTGCAGAAAAACTGAAATTGTTATTGTTCCCATTCCGGTTGGCTAAGAGGGAATCTCTTGCTCGGGGTGACAATAAGTAGCGTCCCAGTGTACATTTTTGGTGTAGATTGCCTGATTGCGAGCCGGGTATTTTTATATTAAAATATATATATATTATACAACCAATTTAAAATCAATATTTTCCTTTACATTTTATCAGACTTAGGAAATTAGGATTATCAATTATTACTGTTATATTGTTATAATATTGGAATGATTCAAAATACTGGTTTTTTTTATTAATACTTTTAAACTTTTTTATTTAAACTTGTAATAAACAATAATATAGGTAATAAAAAAAATATTTGTATACGACATACTTTATGTTACATTATTAATTAATAATTTATTATTAATGCCGTCAATACACAGATATACTCATTCTGTCATTCAGCTGAACATCCCAACCACCTTAGACGCAACCCTCGGTACAAATGCAGACTCCACACTCCAAATCTTGACTTTTTTAAGAAAATATGAATTGTACAATTTAATTTAAAATATCATATTTAAGATACTTAAAAAAAAAAATGTAATCAATGTAACGTTTACGACTAATGGCCGATGTCTTTTGATCAATAAAAAAAAAATATAAATATTATTTACATTTTCCGTCTGACCTCTGACGCAATAAATTATTCATGACAGAAACACTCAAACACGGATCGCAAATTCTCAACTTACATTTACCGCTTGCACGATCTACCGTTTTCTATAATCGAACATTATTGATTCGATACGAAAAAAAAATACCTGTAGAATTAACATAATATTCTGAAATATACTAATCATATTATTTTTGTAACTATCTTGATATTTCGTGCAATTTAAAGGTGTCCAAAAATTCCAAAAACATTTTTATATGTATAGGCATACAATTTATTTTTTCGTATGACGTACAATGGAGGAGGCTCTTAGTGAACAATTCCTGCTATTCATCTGTTGCCTTTAGATCATAATATTCTATATGATCTAAGCTGATGCCATAAGCATGCAACTATTGTAAGTACAACCCATGTAAACACTGAACAGTAAAAGTATCTATAATTGTCATATAATTACCTATTGGCTATTATGTTTATGTTAATAACTTTGTTATGAACCCATTTATAAACCTAACATTGACAAGACCCAAGAGTGTTGGGCGATGATGTTTTTCATGGATATTAAATATTAATATAATATACGATATATCACTTTTTTTCTTTGATAAACATATTAATAAATATTTTATGTTTTAATAAACAGGAATATGATGATCAGTATTGATGACTATTAGAAAGTTTCAAGATTTTTTTTACAAATTTAGGTACAYGTCCAAGGGGGAGGGGGTGGGCCATTCGTCATCCTGAACATCCGCAACTGAAAATTCGGTCAAATCGACTTCCTAAAGAATAAAAAAATTCCTAGGTATTTGTTTTCAGAAGTTCTTTTTAAATATCTAAATAAATTTAAAAACGAGTTATGACTTTTTGAGCATTTATAGATATAATTTTTATTTATGACAAAATTATAACTTGCATTTTTGGAAAAAATATTGAAAAATTAATGGTTGTTGCTACTTGGCATTGCATAGTTGCATACAGACATCACATATTATTCAGTATTTAYTTTATTATAATTTATATTTAATAGCAACATTGATCAATAAATTTAAATATTTTATATCATCTATAGCACACAAACATTAAATTATATACTTATATACTTATATATTATATTACCATTATTACCTACGAATTTAATCGATATTTTATATTTATACAATATTGTAACTTACTATATAAATCCTATCCAGTATCCTAAAATTATTAATGTTATAAATATAATATATGTATTAATAAATAATATAATGATTTATGTTTAATCTAAAATATAATAATAAATAAAAAAAAGTAAATCATCAACTACATATTTTTTGTTCATCACTCGTGAATCGTGGTAGCGTTTTTCCAGTCGTTCCAGACCAGTGACCCCACCACGACGACCTKTCCTATCAATWCAAGCAGTTATCATCAGCTGGGTGTATAAGAAAGATAATGCGAAAGTGCAAAACAATAACAATATAATATGAGTCATACGGTCATACCGATTACCGACATACCATTATGGAACATCCTCATTCCTCATAGTCCATATAGCTGATACATGGAGTATAGTACTATTTACTGTGCTACCAACTTACTATATAGTCTTACTACCGATTACCGAGTACAGTTACAACTTACAGAGTAAACTACAGTAAAGCAGTAAACAGTAAACTACAGTCATTTGAAACGTCAGAACTTGGTGAACGTCGTACGTTTTTCTTTTATTCCCCATCTTGTTTTACAAGAATTGTTTTCCGTTTGACGATTTCCAGTCGTCTACACTCTTTTGTACTTAACTCTACAAAGCTAAACCAACGTCATGTCGTCGCTGTACCCTTCTTTGGAAGATTTAAAGTTGGACGAGTTCATTAAGGTATGTTCTGTGTTTCTTAGTAATAAAATTGTGAACTATTCATAATATGTCTCAGAATTTTGTTTCAATATAAAATTAACAGTTTACTTTTAGTAGTAAGTTAGTATCTGTAATGCCAAATGTCATTTTTAGAATTGATTTTTTAGATTGAATTACATTTTGTTTTTCTCACATACTTACCTTATTTTATTTGGTTTACTCATGTTGCAGACACAAAATCATATTGTTCAACAAAATGAGAATCCACCTCCATTTATGGCTATTTGTCCACCACATCCTTCGGGTATGGAACAAGAATCACTAGGTGCCATGTACCCAATACTCAATGATTACTCGGGATTAGAACTCAGTATTCTAGCACAGAATAACATAGATAATCCTTCCAAGAAAATTCAATCGAAAAATAATGTTGTAGCGATTCCTTTCCAGGATATTCCAGCGCATGTAACAAATGGCGTTCGTAAGGTAAATAATGATTTACATTTTACTTATACCTACTACTGTTTCTATGTTTGCAGAATTCTCAAATGCTAAAATTTATTTTGTTCTTTTTAGTTGGTGTTATGTAAAGATGGAAAAGGACAAATAGGATTAAAATTGTCCTCATTCAACAATGGCATATTTGTTAGCGTTGTAATACAAGACAGTCCTGCTGCTAAAGCAGGTTTAAGATTTGGTGATCAAATATTACAAATAAATGAAGTTTTTGTTGCGGGAATGAGTGTTGATAAAGTGAACAAAATTTTTAGAGAATGTTCAATAAATAACATAAGTGTTATTGTAAGAGACAGGTAAAATAAAAAAACTTTAAAGAATTTCAGTTAAGAAAATGTCAGTGCACAATTTTTCTTCTTTCTCTGACCCAACGCTACAACAAACCAATCCTGTGTTTAGATTTTTAATATTAGAGCGAATTAATTTAATATCAAATTCTAAGCTAAGAGCATTTAAGCCTACTACATTACTTATATCATAGTGTCAGGGTTTTTATGATATTTTGATTTTTATACAGTTAATAAGTATTTTTAAATTGTAATAATTGACATGCTTATAACTTATATGAAAATTAAAATATCATAAAATAGCAAAAGTAGGACTTAAATTAAAGTTTGTTAATAGTGAATTCACTTAACCAAAGTAATAACACAGGATTCTGTTTAACGTAAATTTGCTATTTTTTGCATGAGTTAAATAAAGAAAACAATATTGTGCTGTAATTTCTAAAATATATTTATTAATATTTTTTTTATTCTCAGGCCTTTGGAACGTACAATAAATCTCTACAAAGACCGTGCTGGTCAAATTGGATTTCAGTTCAAAAATGGTAAGATTAACAATATTGTTAAAGATTCATCAGCAGCTCGTAATGGAGTTCTCACAGATCACCAGTTATTGGAAGTCAATGGACAAAATATTATCGGCATGAAAGACAAACAAATAGTGGATATTATTGCTAAAGCTTCAGACTCAATTAGTATAACAATCATTCCAGTATCAATTTATGAACACATGATCAAAAAGTATGTTAAATAATTTTTATTAGTCACTTGAAAAAAAACCTAACATTGTTTAACATAAGGATTGGATGCCAATGCCAATTTGTGTTCTTAGGATCGTTCAGCAACACGTTTGACGTGCATATAAATGTTTGAAATTAATTGTTTATATTCATTGTTGAATATTATTTTTATTAGTGTGAATAAATAGATATTTTAAAACATGCTCATATACATTTTTCAAAATTATGACTATAATATGAGAACAGTTAATATTTATTAGAAGTTATTATTAAATGTACTCACTGAAGTGACTGAGAGGACCACCAAAAGATGTATGCAGATAATTAGTTAAATAAGGACTGTTATATAGCTTGTTTTTAATATTTTTGAATATTCTGTGTTTGTTGATCACTAATATAATTTAAATCAATCAGGGTAATAATTCTTTTAAATTTAAAAATTATATTACTTAAGCTCCTCTATTCTGTTCTTGTTATAAACCTTCAGCTACCTTCAAAATCTCACACATTTTTTTTAAAAATTTTTTTATAAAGTTTTTCTGACAATTGGTCATCTAAACTTAAGGCTAAAAGAATATATATTTTGATGTTTTGAAAAAGGTTAACATAGAATATTTACGGAATAGTAATAATTGATAATATAGAAATTAAACAACGTTTGATAAACTTAGAACTAATTATATTATTATATACAGAATAGGTATGTACAATTAAGATTTATTAAGAATTAATAAATGATAGAATAAACAAAACACACACATTTTTTAAATGCCCATTTATTTTCAACCAATGCTTAATGGACCAGGTTATGGTCAAAACTATTTATTTCATTGTAGTTTTTTGTGTTAGTTTAATATTCCTCAATACTCTTAATGCTATTACTTCGATTACTCATTATTTTTTAAATATCCTTACTGACATCATAGCAGTCCATTGCTTGTAATTTTCATTTTATTATTTTGTCCCCTCAAATTATTCCATCAAGCTAGATTAAAAATCTATAAAATGTATTAATTTGATAGTGTGTTAGGCATATATAGATTATGTATATTATTTATTATATAWAAAAAAAAATGTTTAAAAATAATTGTTCATTAATTATTTAATTTTAATTTTAGGATCGCACCATCATTGATCAAGAATATAATGGATCATTCGTCCATTTAAGAACAAACAAAAAACTTATCCATCTGTTGAAGTCATATTTAAATTTTATTATTTACTTAACATAATTTTATTTTAGTTGTGATTTAAGTATGCATGGAAAAGTCATCCATTATTCATAAATCATCTAGCTTTTTTTTATACAATTATAATGGGCAAGATATATCAAATTATACTTTCTACATTAATTACACTATCATTCCATTGATTCCTATGTTACTTATCCTTTATTTTTATTTATTATTTTTTATGAATATTATATTATGAAGTGTTAAATGTTACACAAAGAATTTGGAGTCATTTTTTAAGGTGTATATTAACTTATTTTATTTAAAGTTAATTTGAAAAACTATGTTTTTACTATAGATCTTTTATTATTATTAATAGTTAATAGTTACATTTTGTTTTATTTTATATTTATTTTTTTTATTACACTAGCACTATTTATATTTTGTAGATATGATCTACAATTTAGTTAAAGCTTTGTTCTAGCTTAATATTATAAACTATTTTAATTAACATAATGGTTTTAATTTACTAATCCTATTACAATAATATTCTTTGATAAAATATAGTCTTACATAGACAAGGAAATCAATGTAAAGAAATTTTTATTTTGTTGGATGAGTTTTGGTGTTGTGTAATTGGGTAACCCGATATAAATTGCAGTTGATGACTAGTGTTTAGTAGATGCTTAGATAACCATTTAAAAATTAGTTAGAAAAAGGAGTAAGATTCTCAGTAGCATACTATGAACATGGTTAATAGGATATGTAATTTTTAGATGTAATAGAAACACCAGTAATAGTTTTCGTGGAGGCGGTATATTAATTGCTGTAAATTCCAAGTTCAGACCTGTTATAATATTGTCACTGGAGTGTTGAACGAGTGTTTGTACATAATATTACCTTTCCTGGAGGTGCCTCTATACAGTATACTACAACTAACTGGTATTTATTTGCCTTCTAGTTCTGATATATTTAGGTTCTAGGTATGAGCATCATACCGAATCCCTGAATCATGTTTGGGAATCATATCAATTTAATTCTGTGATTGTTTGTGGGAAGTGGGGATTTCAATTTATCAAATATTAGTTGGACCAACAGGGTTTCAGGCCTCGAATACAATGGTTCTGTTACAGATAATGTTCGTCAGATCGGTGATCAGTACGGTACTCTTCACTTCAAACAAATAAATAATGCCTCTAATGAGTTTTACTCTGTCCTTGATTTAGTTTTCTCAAACAGTAAATCTACCAAAATTGAAAAGTCAGCCGAAGCTCTTGTGCCGTGTGATGATTACCACACAGCAATTGTTATGATTATAATATGTATTTGTCTCTCTGACATACTTGTCCTTAATGAACAACATTCCTATAGAGACTTCAAAGGGGCTAACTATGAAAGAATTAATGATGTTTTAGGGACTATTAAGTGAGTATTCAATTTATTGACTTTAACAGTCGAACAGTCAGCTGCATTTTTACAGAGATCATTTTTGCATGTTATTATCATTGATGTCAATGCGTACTTATTGTGAATCGTAATTTTCGCTTAGGGTAACTATTAACTAAAAATCTAAAGAATTGTTCTGTCAAAAAGAAACTCGGTCTGTTCTGTTATTATTTCTCCAGCACTGGTTCTGCTATTTGCTAATGATGCTAAGATATTTCATGCAGTGTCATCCATAGAAGACTGTAAAATACTTCATAGTATTTTGAATAAGTTTTCTTCTTGGTGACTTGGTGTGAGATTGTTGGGTTCTCTCTGAATATTGGAAAATGTAAAACTATGTCATTCTATCGGATTCGGGATTTTATGAAGTTTGACTATTATGTAATTATGTACTTGTATTATTATCTATATATATATATAWAAAAATAAAAACTATTCATACAAAAAAATATACATATTTATCATAATGATTAAAATTAAAAATGCAATAATTATAAATACAATTTTTATCTATATAGTAGTATGATTTATCAGTTTAATAACTGTCGTCAAAAAAAATTAATTTTTTTAAAAAACATTCCTATATAGGTATATGTATAAAAATAGTAACAATATATTTAAAAAAAAAAAAATTATGCTTATCTAGTCCTTGTTCTGATATTATGACTAACTTTGAAATTTTTCWTCGAGAGTAAACGACTAACAAAATGCCAAAATGTCGAACTTAAACTAACAAAATTTCGAATTATACTGACAAAAATTTCAGCTGTTCGCTTGTTCAGTTACCCATGTACGATATATACACGGTAGACATACCCATCAGTCATCACCGGCATCACTATAGATAGAGATAGGTATCTATAACCATATAATTAAGATAAAAGAATTAGTAAGTGTTTGATTATTACATGCAGCCAAAAATCAAGCATGTTTAAAGTCCAAAAAAGTAGTCATTGGTATATAAGATTATTTATAGATTTTGTCAGGTAAATCATTTAGTTACAATTTATATTAATAATTATTGAAAGTTTGATTGTTTTGATTTTACCCATAGATATATATATGTCTATGATTTTACCTAATTATATGTACCGGATTTTTATTACCGGGTTTAGTGTGTGACCTACGACTTGAAACAAATAACAAACCTATGTTTGCTTATCTTTATAATTATATTATATATTTACTGGTTTTTACCAATAGATATTTTGTTTTTGTCATTCTAACATTATCCATAATATCGTCATTCGTCAGTACGACCACAACTGACCAGTACATGTTCTTCTGTTATCGCGTATTCGCGTGTTAAAAACTTTAAAATGTTGGCAGTCGAATTTTATTGTATACGATTATTTCTTCTGAAAAACATAGAATTTTTATAAACATTTTTTTTTATTATGATATTGAATATAATCCGTAATCTGTAATAATAAAATAACCTAATTATATAATTAATTTGATTGTTTATAAATTTATTATCGGTCCGGTAGCCGGTAGGTCACGCATACAAAACGAATCCCTATACAGAAGGTCACGTGATCGACAGGTCACATACTAAACGAATACCTTATAATGTTATAATATTATATTATGCATAGTATTGTGAAATCTGTAGGAACAAACAATTTTATTGTAATCACGAAACATCATGGACCATGATGGACGTAGGACGATGACAGACATGAGGCAACCGAGCAAGAACGTTGGAAAACTAGCGGGAAGGATATCAATCGGAAATTAACAAAGAGATGGCTGCCGGTATGTTTAGGACGTTTAGGTTAGACCACGGACTATATATTATATACATATATCTTAGTCTGTGGGTTAGACGACGACCCGTCACCCTGTCCGGTCATCGGCATTCCCCGGCGGTTGCATTTTCTGATACCTTACCTAATACCTATTCAGATTTCAGATGAGTCGGACGTGCCGTGATGATGGTCGGGTGACGGGCGCCGGGCGCACGGCGGTGCGAGACTGCGAATCTCTTTGTATTTAAATTCGTATCGGGTGGCGACGGTTGGTAACACTGCTCGATCGCGCGCGATTTATCATAAAACATTTTTCGCCGCCGCCCGCCACCAATAGCGAACGCTGATCCGCGTCTCTCGGGTTTTTTCGCATCGTTAAATTGGTATGGCGTTTATGTTATGTCTTATGTTCATTACTGACTTTCCACGGGGCTGAGTAKCACGTCGTCCGTTAGAGTTGCCGAGTCCACTGTTAAGTGTTAACCGGTTAGCCGCGAATTACGCCGACAGACAAGACGACATCCGGTCCGGAAACAGCGAACGAATTATATTCGACATCAAAATACACGGCTAAGATATAAACATGGGCACGTATCTGAGCAAGCCGATCACCGACAAGGAATCTCATGACACAGACAATGAGTGGCTGTCTTGCGGTTCTAGTTCCATGCAGGGCTGGCGTGAATCTCAAGAGGTAAAGCTATGGGATTTTAACGATTATCTAGAGAACTCCGTGACTGGCATCTCCGGAGTCCGGACCTAGTGCTGATCCAACCCTATAGGAAGTGGGGAATTCGATAAATACTTTTATGAATTTAGCGGCATGTAAATTTTTGTGGGATGTAGTTGGGTGGGAGGAGTGTGCGTGCCCCTTCGCACTCCTGCTATAGAATTCCCTAGCTACTAGATGTGAATGGCATAAAAATGTTTCTGAATGTAACCATCTTGCATTGAATTTGAATTTCGGTGTTTGTTTGATATTGTTGTATATGTGTGTATCTGTATAGATTTTTATTTTTATAGGATGCTCACAACTGTTTGTTGGACTTTGACAAGAGTGTTGCGCTCTTTGCTGTATATGATGGACATGGTGGTGCTGAGGTTGCTCAGTATGCAGCTGAAAAGTTGCCATCCTTAGTTAAAAACACTTTGTATGATAACCAAGACTACAAAAACGCCTTAGTAAAGGCTTTCATGGACTTTGATGACAGTCTAATCGAGACACCCGTTGTTGAAAAATTAATTACTCTCCGAGAAGAAATTAATGAAGAGTGTGGTAGGTTAAAAATATGTAGTAGGTAGTTCCTAAGGAAATTTATTTTGTAGAATTTTCCGTTGTAAATAAGATAGCATCTTGAGTATATAATATATAATATATTTAATATTTAAGTATCACTTATAAGATGTAATTGAATTTAAAATTTTTCTCTTTTACTACTTTTTCATACTTCATATTACCATAAACTTATTCCTTTAGTGATGTTTTCATGAATATTAAATGAAGAAGTTGTATATAAAGTATAGAAACTAAAAAAATTGTCATGACTACCTATTAACATTTTTTTAAATTTGAACTATAGCCGGGATCAGAAATTAGTTTTTATTASGTCTAAATAATAAAAAAAAAAATTAAAAGCCAGGAAAAAAATATATTAGTTGATAAATCTATTTAATTTGTATTAGAATATTAATTCAAAGTTTAAACAATTTAAGATAAATTTTTAATATAATATAACATAAATATTATGAAGTTTCATAGCTACACTAATAATTATACAAATTCATACTTTATTGAAAGAAAGGATGCTATATAGTGTGTGGTCTACCAGCAATGATTAGCAGTAGCGTTATGGTCACCATGCTGCTGTTGACGTCTACCAACACTGCTATGATGACGGTCGATTTGTAAAGATTTTGCTGGGGAAGCCCGGAACCAACATATTTTCCTCTTCGTGGGACAGAGTATAGTCCATAGTTGTTCTAACTTTTTCATCTAGCAACTCCTTTGGGTGTTCACACAATATTTTGACAGCTACCAAATTATTATGTAWAAATCGAAACAACACGGATAATATATGGCCAATATAGGTGATGATAACAGTGACTTTAGTACTAGAAATAAAACTTCCAAGTGGTCGTGTGATATGTTTTGTTTTTGTTCCCATAATGATAAAAAATAATTTTTGTTACTATTATACACAAGACCTATGATAAAATTATTGTGAAGGATAATAGGTATAATGATGGTTTCTGGTGTTTTGACGCGACGACCCATGACGCACAGTTTGAATACGTTTGGTATAGTCTATATGTTTAATTATTACACAATAAATTTCAACTATCATAGTTATATATTAAATTTAGTACRACAAAAGACTTACGAATAGTATGATCATCCGGAGGTTCTTAACCTGGCACTAATAAAATTAATACTGTATGTGCCTTATATATGATAACATCTTTACGTGTACCTAGATAGCTGTTTATAAGGCTTCTTCTTAATTATCAATACTTAAATTTATACTTCTTAATTTACAGTTTATGTAATGGTCTCACATATGTGATCTATTACACTATTTATGATTAAATCAAAGTAATTTTCCATATTGAGTATATGAATATGAGTTCCAAAATAAATAATATATATAGAATACATTATCGTCAAGCAATAAGTAGTTTAAATTATTTGTTAGTATACTATTAATCAATGTCTCATTGATTTATATAATGCTACACTACTTTACCTACCACAATATTTACCAAGTATTTTAATAATGTCTAGATGACTACGATTTACTTTAATAAGTATATTTTGTTCAAATTAATATTTATATATTAAGATTAAAACAATAACAATTAAATTTTAGCTGATSAAGAAGAAGAAAGAGAGGAACTCAGTGAACTTTATGAAGAAGCTAAAATGCCAATCGAAGACATAATATTGAAGTATAAAAATAAAATAATTGAAATAGATCAGAACAAAAAAAGTTGCATTAGCCAAGAAAGTGAAGATGAACCTAGTTCTTCTAAAGAGTCTCCTATTTCAAAGCCAGGATCTAGCGGTATGTTAGATAAAAATTGTTTTTAGAAAAATTCAAAAAATTTGTTATTATATTTATTTTATTTTATTTAGTTGAATCAAATGATGCCTGTGGCTCTAGTAACAGCAAAACAATAACAGGTACACATTAATTTGAATTTATCTAATTTTTTTWAAAATATATTAATTAATTGTTAAAACTGGTATAATAGATGATAATAAAACAAGTGTTGGTAATGGTATTGATGAAAGCGTATCAGCCGGAAGTTCATCAAGTGCTAAAGTCAATGGCTCAACAAATGATGATGAAGAGAATGACAAATCTGAAGAACCTGTTACTGAAAGTAGTGAAGCTGAATGTGGTCCCAGCAGTAGTAATGGGCAAAATGGCACAGAAAAAAATGCTGGAACTGTGTGTTTAATTACTGAGGATTCAGAAGACGACAGTGACGATGATGATGATGATGAAATATTTGAAGCCTCAATTAAGTTAGAGTAAGTGTTATTACTATCAATTTTTTACGTATACCTATTTTTAGRTGTCYATTTTGGTAACGAGTCACTTCCCCGTCCAATACTCTACAATACTATTTCACATGATAAAATGTTGTCTAATAATAATAATAATAATTAATACCTTATATTTGTAAATGATGAGCAATTCCAATTAAATATTTATTGAGATTACGTTCATGGTGAGAACTTACAATTTTTATAATCCGTGTAGTTGTTTTCGTATATTTTTTCTCTTTAGCTACCTAAACTTGTTCTGCTATTATTGATTGATTTTCATTTCTGTTAACCCTTGTTCTTTTTTTATTATGACTATTAATCGCCATGTAGTTGATTGAGATGTACCCTAACAATGACGAAAATGTTAGGTGTGTGGTTGTGAGTGTTTTTGTGCTGAACAATTTCATCATTTACTTATGTGCCCGTCCACGACTCTTGTACATATTATATTTGATGTGTTTCCAATAGGTTTTTTCATTTTTTGTATAATCCTTTTCAAAAATATTTTCTGCATATACTAATAAATTTTTTCCTTTGCTATTTTTTACGTAAGTCATTTTAAAATAGTAAAAACAAAATAGATTAATTGAAAAAATCTTATGTACGTATTACGATGGTTGAGACGTATAACAAAAATATAATAACACAACTGTTATTGAAAAACTGTTAAACTATTTTAATTTGTTAGTTTTATTAATGCATACCGGATCCGTTTTAGGATAATGTATATTGTACCTCGATAACATATCCTTATAGTTAATTTATATTTGATAAAACCTATACGAATAAATATATATTTAAGTTAATTTGTACAGGSTGCAATATAAGTGTATAAACCTACTATGCAGTATAAAATTAAAATAAATTGTTTTATACTATCGTTATCTGTTATATCTTATATCCTTATTTGGACGAAGAAAAAGTAATGTGAAAATGTTTAACGAGGACATGTGTTAAGGGGATCTGTCCATGAATCGTCCATATTATGTACAACTAAAAGTCTTAGTGTATTAGAATTATGTAACTTTCACATATTTATATAGTTTACAAGTGATGTAGTTCCTGTATTTTTACACATTGCTTTATTTTCTTAATTCCAAATAAGGTCTTAATAATTTATGACTTCTGAATTTTTAATATATTTAAAACAAATTCTTGTTTTTGTACTATTAAATAATATAATATTTAAACAATTCATTAAAAAGTACTTAATCTCTTTATAGAACACTATATAAAAAATAATATGAAACACCATACTAAAACTATATCTTAATAAATATCAATATGTTAGTGTGATGGTATTTTTTTGCTTTTTGCACTAGGAAGTATTGAATTTAAACTGGCAACAATGTTTGGCAACTTCTTTGTACAAAATACAGATTGATAAAGTGCATTTAATACATACAATTTATTTTTAGTGATGAATCAGATTCAGACAGYGATGAAGAAGATGAAACTCCGAGCAATAGTTTTATATATGAAGAAGACGATGAAGAGGATAAGGTAATAAATAGTAATTAATTTTTATATTGGATAGTGTATAACGTTTTAAAAGAAGCATTTTATTATTTTTAAACTGTTATTTATCTAAACTAGTGGTTCYAAAATATTTTGACTTACATTTCTCTTAACAACAAGTGATTGAATCAATCAATTTTTTTTATTGTTTATATATTATTATAATATACAGTGTCCTTCAAAGATTTTCTCATTGCTATATTATCCCCGAAATAATGGAGATATCGAAATTCTRGTTTTGTAATAAGACCCACTGGGATGAGTACTACAATTATTTCATGTCATATCTAAGAAAAAAAAAAGAAAAATATTTTTAAACTTTTTTATCAAATAATAAAATAAATTACAAAATAAAATAATTGTAGTTCTTATCCTGGTGAGTCTTAAAACAAAACCAGAAKTTTTATATTCATTATTTCGTGAGATATCGCAATGGGCAAATCTTCAGATACCCTATATATACTAAAATTGTTTAGTAAATTAAATATAAATTAAAAATTGACTTACATATTTATGCCTTATAATGCTACAGTTTAATATTTAATTTTATAAATAATGTTCAGTTTAATTTTTTAAAAACAATTAGGATGTATAAGGTGTTATTAAGTATTAAAATATTGATTTGTATATATAATAATAATAAATATCAATTATTCCCTATCATAGCCTGGAAAAGATAGTGGTTGTACAGCAGTAATGGCTCTTTTAGTAAACGATGTACTTTACGTTGCTAATGCTGGAGATTCAAGGTGTGTTGTTTCTATTGATGGCAAAGCTCATGATATGTCAAAAGATCATAAACCTGAAGATGAACCAGAGTTACAGAGAATTTGTAAAGCTGGTGGCAGGGTTTCTAGCGATGGACGAGTGAATGGAGGCTTAAATCTTTCTAGAGCTCTAGGTAAAAATTTCTATAGTTGTCTTGTGATGTACTAAAAAATAACAGAATTATATAACTAAATTCATTTTTCAGGTGATCACAATTATAAAAAAAATAAAGAYCTTCCAAATACTGAACAAATGATAACAGCTTTACCTGACGTAACTGTCTTGGAAGTAACACCAGATAAAACCAACTTTCTAGTATTAGCTTGTGATGGTATTTGGAATTCATTAAGCAGCCAAGAAGTTGTTGATTTCATTTCAGATCGTATCAATAAACCCGATGTCAAATTATCATCAATTTGTGAAGAAGTATGTAGATATATTATTATATACATGTAGTTGATTTTTTTCACTATGTTAAATCATTATTTTAGCTGTTTGAACAATGCTTGGCACCTAATACATTAAGTGATGGCACTGGTTGTGACAATATGACTTGTATTATTGTCAAGTTAAAACCAAAACAAAAGCGTTGTCGTTCAGACRACGAAGATGATTTAGAAGGTGGCGAGTGTAAAAAGTATAAAGCAGATCCAACAGAACCTGAATCTGTACATTAATGTTCCTCCTGGCATCGAAGATTTGGTTTGACGAGCTGTTTGTATTTGTTTCTGAATTTTACAGATGCATGCGACTGATTTATGGATTAATTTCTTTTCTTAAATTTTAACAAGGAAAAAACATTATTTTATAATTTATATGATAATATTATTGTAGTGTACTTTTATTATATTTTTCATAATTAAAATTTCATATGATAATAAAGTTATTTTATAATTTTAATAATATTGTACATAGTTAATTTTAATAATTTGACACAAGTATTTTTTTTTATTACTTATATGAAATATATATACACTGTATATGTATTAATTAGTTATACATTTTTGTTCATAATTATTTATTTTAATATTTCAATTAGGTAATTTAGGTAATATAATTAATGGTTATTCATAAACTATGAATTGAATAACAATTATGTTGAAATGTATTTATTTAATCTAATTTAAATTAATAATATAATTCTTACTAAAATAAACAAATGTTTTTGTTAAAAAAAGTACAAAGATGAAGTCTTAATTAGAGTWAATTTTAAGAAGCCGCTACACCCGCATGTGTTGTCTCCGTCTTACATGCGTACTACATAGCAAATTTTCGTTCGCTAGATTCAATAGTGTGCTGTTAGTTTTGATATTAGAGTGAATTGACCCATTATCAAACTTTTAGGTAGGAACATTATCTCTGTTCTCATGTTGGTTTTTTACGATATTTTAATTTTTAAACGAGTTATGAGCATGTTAAGTGTGAATATTTAAAAATTCACATAACTCATTTAAAAATTAAAATATCGTAAAAACCAACATGAGAACACAGATAATGTTCCTACCTAAATATTGAGATATTGAGTCAATTCACTCTAACATCAAAACTAACAGCACAATATTAAATCTAGCGAATGAAAATATGCTATGTAGTACGCATGTAAGACGGAGACGACACATGCGGGTGCAGTGTCCTCTTAATAAGTCCATTTTCAAATATATCAATTTAATATATATTTGCTTACTGCAGTGTTAACTCAAAAATATCACCAACATTTTTATGGTGGTTAAATYTCAAGCTTCTAAATTTATATCTATACTAATAAAACTTATTTTAATTTATAATATCCAATGAGATGTAAATAACTTAATAGATCTTAATAATACACTAAAACTCAATAGATCGTAAATAATGTTATCATTAAATCTGATTGTTCAATTTCACTCTAATATTAAAACTAACAAAACTAATCTGCTAAAACGCTGTTAAGAGGCCTTGCTACTACTGTCAATTTTAATTCTAAAGTTTGGAAAAATTATTTTATRTTGCATGATTTTAATAATTTTGAAAAAGATGTTTAATTCATTCAGTGTATTGGTGTATTATTCAGAATACTGAAATAATGCAATCATATTTAATTTTGAACTCTAACTGAAAACTTGAAACATTGATTTTATATTTTTATCAAATCATAATTGTTATTATACTTAACTCAATGTTAACTTTATTTAGCCAAAACAAGTAAGTTGCTGATAAATTTGTATGTATGGTGTAATTTATATTGTTATGGAATTATTAATACCATGTCCATGTGCGTGGGAGATCGGTATTCACATGCAATCACAGCATAACTTAACCTAACATAGATCCCGGGTGTTGAATACCAAATTAGAAATTGTTAATTGTTCCTCTTCCATAAAAATATTAGAGAATTATAGWAATCGTTYATGAACGGTAATCATCAGTWGGAGACCATTAAAAAATGTTTCTGTTATAATTCATTGTATTTCTTTGGAATTTGGATAGCATTATGTATTAGGATAATGATATTATAGTCTTAGTGGTCTTACTCATATAATATGATCATCAAAATTGAAATAAAATATTTACATTTATTTTTTTAATATTATTTATATTTTAAAACATGTATGTATTAATGTTTAAATGAACAAAATAATTTTATAATACTTTCTAATAGCACAGTTTCTATATTGCTAAGTAGTTAATACTAAAGTAGAACCACTTAAGTATTTGGCGTCTGATCATTACTTTTAAATTTATTGTTAATACAATTTTTTAGCGCATATCATTTATAGCCTTATTTTATTATTTACATGATTAAGATTATGTCAACAGATTAWAATAATCATCAGTTTTTTAAACGTGTATAGAATTATTATTTGAATACAAAATKTATAATGGTAAGAATTCTAGAAATATAGAATTACATTTATTGGAATTTGTATGGTACAAACCTGATTTTATCTGAATGGCAAAAATTAAAATAATTTGAAGTACGTGCTAATGAGGACTCATAAAAATATCTTGTAAACATTGTAGTCTACTGGACTGTGCATCGATCGCAATTTACAGTTTTCTACTCTGATGACCTATGTGCCATTGCAACTGTCTTACAAATCTGCATTATTAAAAAATCGTCTGCCGATTATTATATTTACATCGGCCTCAAAATTACTCATCAAACAAACGATAAAAAAAAAACAAAACAAATATTAATAAATGGGTATCTAAATGTGTTAGATTGGTTAGGATAGGTACCTATCTAATAAATCTGAAATTTGCAGTAAACTGCTCTATCTCTATGTTTCATAGTTTCATACGATATTATCCTCGAACAGTGAACGCCTTACAGTTTTATATACCAGCTGTTTTAGAAAAACAGCAAGTGACTGACCACGTCCAGGTGGTAGCTGATATCTAATGGTAGTATGGTACCGACTATACCAGGCCCTATTATTTGTAAAATGTCGAACTGCACATTTAATTTTACTGCTTTAAACGGAAATTGTATATTCTTGCTACTGTCTTAGAAAAAGCAATGTGTAATACATATTATTTATGTACATATAATAATTTAACAGTGCAATTAAATAAAACAAGAAATTCAAGAAATACACATATATCCTAGTAGCTGGCATTAAATTTAATTTTTGGTTTGTAGACCTAGTGCACATACGTCAAATCGTAGCACACACTTGTACATTCATTCGTGGTGCACATTGTGTGTCGTGGTGAAACATTAAAATAGGTCCTGCCGACAACCAATCGATACTGCTGAATATTGGCCTTTTAAAAATACCGTAAACAGATCTATCATAGCTGAGTGTTTACGGAATTAAAATCACGGTAGGTGTCTACCCAGGTCATAGTACATAATTATGTTACGTTTTTTTTGTAGGTATAACTGTTGTACGTTGAATTATTCAATTATTCAACTTGAATAATATGATTTCGAAGCAGCGTCTGCGTCATAGGCGGCTTTTGGTGGTGAGTAGGGAAGATCACTATAGGAATCAGTTTCCCTCCCCCCTCACCATCCACAATTAGAACCAAGCTTCGGCCCTATGGCCTGCGGTATACCTATAACCTATTCATACGCATTAGGATGTTGTGGCTGAACGGTTGAACTGCACGCAGAACTACTCAACTACTCAGTGTTACGTAGGTTTAGGCAATAGCCAATAGGTATTTGGATGCAACTGAAATATATAGGTATGAAAAGTGAACAAACAAATTGTAATTTTTCGTGTCCGATCTTCGAGTAAACGGGGATCCGTAATGTTTCGATTTTTGAAGGACGCTGCAGATGATAACATATTATATATAACCTATTATATTATAAATTATAATGTCACTTATGACTTGTGCTCGAGCCGCCTCGGGATAAACGTACTTGATAGATACCCACCTCATAAACGTAATGCTCATTATACGATTATCTGTATAATAATTATAAAACAAAAACAATTCAAATCCTAATGACTAAATACTGTATGTATACCTATAATAGTAGTAATATTAGCAGGTGATTAAACTCGTATCTATTTTGTGTATTTTTAACTACAGAGAGAAAGTAAAAAGTCCGCGAGGCTAGTCGCCTCGTATTTTGTCGTTTGCTAATTCGTTTGTTTTAGGTATGTTAACGTTAAGGTTATTGAGTCGACATAGAACTTAAAATTAAGGTATTTAATTTTTTCCCCCTAAGTCATATAAATCGCTGTATTTTCATTTATTAAGATACTCTATTATCTATTTTATAATATAATACATAATGTGACGTACAATTAATAATTTTTGAAAATATATTTACATTTATAAATTTATAATACTATGCAAGTATAAATCATATAAAAACTTTTAATGCTCTAATACATACATGAAAGTACTCGGGTGCCTGGACAGCCCCAAAGCGAGAAAAAAAACGATTTTTGATAGAAGGTACATATTTTATTTTTGGTAGGTGTAGGTACTCGTAAATTCAAATTTTGCATTCAAACAGAAACAGAATAATTATTATAATTTTCTTATTGACTAAATATAAGATTTAGTTTTTATTTATTTTAACATTTTGAACTAGCAGTAAAATTGTTTACATTAATCAATGAATTCTTACTGTCTACAGGTATATTATCGATTTATTTTTATAATTATGTATTCGTAAACACTTGATGCAGAGGTATTCAAAATTCGAAACTGCAGTGGGCATCATTGTGTGCGACGCGGGAGTCGAATATATTTATCATAGCGATTAATTATTATAGAAAATAGAAACGACCGTTTAAAGTCTTATTTCCAGTATACAACTGTCATTACTCATTAATAATGTCATAATCACCTGTATTGTTTAAAATTTAAATTTATTCTTAACAATAATATTTGGGAGCCGTCAAAATTTTGTAAACACAGGAAGGAGCCGCGGGATGAAAACATTTGAATACCTCTGACCTAGTGGCTAGTGGAATGATATAGTAATATGGTCTATGGTACCTATGCTCATCAGTCATTAGTCATTACGGTGTACTCGGTGTTGCATTTTTGGGCCCTATAAGGGCTAAATAAATTCACACTTATTTTATTATTTCCAGTGGTTATAAAATGAAAATATCATTAAAAACGAATTATACATAATTCCAATTTTCGACTTACTCTAACTTGGTCAGTTTTGAAAAAAACTTTTTATACAATAAATGTTTAAAAAAAATATTCTACCCGAATCTGCAGAAAAAATTTGGGTTGCCATTTAAAAAAAATTAAGTTGTATTGCACATGCGCGTACCGAGAGAGCTAAACATTTGAGATTGGTCTGAAAATATGTATTTAATTACCTACTCCTTATCACCTCCTGGAAACTCTATTTCAATACAAGATTACCCAACTGAGATATTTAGCGGTACCTAATATCGTGATCACACTGTATTCATCCACACTGGGTGCATTGCTGTATTTTTAAGTCAACCATAACCTTCATAATTCATTTGTCGACAATCATTTACGGATCCTTTCTTGCGCTTTATTTTTTATACTATACAGTCATCATACTTGAGACTAAATTTGGTAATTTGTATTTTGTCCGAAGTCGAAAACATAATATATATTTAGGCGGTAACGTAATAATTGTGCATGTACAAGCCGTCGTTAAGTTATTTAATAATTATAGGTACTAACCTCTAACCTATAACCAGTCTACCCCGATATGGTATAATAATCACTCATCATCACCATTCGCCACTATATAAGGGATATGGGTGACGAAAAGTTTAATGTTTGTCTTAATTAACAATATAATTACTCGTATAAAGGCAGGCAAGTCGGGCAAGTGTGTCCTTTTATTGATTTGTAATTAGGTTGGTTTAGTAATTTAGTTATGAATGCAAACAATAAACTCGACGGTCACAGACTCGTGTCTGTGATGTGCCATGGCCACACAGTGTAATCAAGTAGGTACTGCTTTCGTATACACATCGTACATTTTGTAGTGAAGTCATTTACACCGCAAGATATTATACAAATGCGATAAGAGAAAAATTTTAATAAAGTAATAGTAGTTAGTATAAAGGTATACTTTTTTATGTATACTGTATTATTATTTGATTGTTAATAATTAGGTATATATTTTATAAAAGTATTCCAATTGAGAGTTTAAGATTTATGGAATTTTTACTTCAAAATCGACTTCAACTGCAGCTAGATTATTATCCAGTGATTTATTCGTAAAACGTACAATTTATTTTGACGATTAGGTAAACATTTTTTTATTTTTTTTTAATGAAAATTTCAGGTGCATGCGGCGATGTGTTTTTTGCCTCGGCCAAACTGTATATAAAATTAGATACACGCCATATTTAACGAACAATAGGGCGGAAAGTGCGCATAATAATATTTCTCAGGGCGAAAAAGTAAAATTTAATTCTTTCGAGTGGGAGGTAGCCGCGGGCAGGTATACTCCCGACGTGACTGTTTGTCACGTTAAAAAGCAATTCATTATACTTATGCTAGTTACGTTTCACCTATACGTCACGTCATATATTATGTGTACGTCGCTGCAAAAATTAGCTCGTTAAGTTAATTACGTAATATTGCAGAGGTTAGCTCGAGCACAATATTATAATATGATAAAAGTATAATTCGTTGATTTAATAAAAGTCACAGCTGAAAATTGCGTGCTTTCGAGTCGACTTCAAAACCGTCGCGTTATAATACTCAGTCCGGGACATCGGACATATAATATATACCTATACCTACCTTAAATTCTAAACAACTGCACCATCGTGTATAATACGTGTCCGTATTTTTATTCAACATAGGTGATGTATAATTATATCGTATAAAAACCGTTTAAATCCGACTCGCAGAATGTAATCCGCTAGCATATTATATGGTAGGACGGTATAGGGTATACCTTTTAATAAATCCGTTTGGTATAGTTCGGTTAATAGCACGTCCATATGGTATACAACGATAGGTACCCTACGATAACCTACCTTTGCGACTTTGTGCGCGTATAAAATGCGTTTAACGTTTTCAAACAAAAGTATAGCATACATATGTATAATAATAATAATAATATAGAACATGACTCGGGTATACGCGTATAATATATTGTCGTATGATATGGTCGACTACCTATAATATAGAAGCAGCATAATAATATGTCATTAATAACTGTTATAATCTATAATTCTATTTACCGTAGCTGCAGTGTCTTCGGATTAGTATATTTTTTTTGGTTATGATTAATTATTATCATAGATATCTGCAGATATGGTAAACGTGGCGCGATGGTACCTATATTGTATAGTGGCATGCCGAAGTGAAAAATTAGAAGATGTCCCCCCATATTATCTTATAAATCACTTTGTTTGTGTTTTTGGTACTGTGCCATAAAAACTCATTTAAATTTATTATTACTCAAAATAAGTCTGTACTATGTACCTATATGGGCCAATACATGTTTCCACTAAACGTGAGATATATTAAACGCACCACTTTCGCAGTTTTCATAAAAATAAAATGTAAATACGTCCAAATAATACATCATGATCATGTACCTGTTATCATTTTATTTTTTTTAGTTTTACAATACTAATTTCGTTTAAGATCTAAATTGTTATCCTGCAATATTATTGAAATGAACTTTTAAATCTTCTTAACMCGAAGAAGACGCCACCCCGCATGTGTTGTCTCCGTCTTACAAACGTACGATAAAACAAACTTTACGTTAACAATAATCCATTTTACTCTCTTATTCTTAAAATTAGAGCGAATTAGCCCAAGACGAAATTCAAATGTAAGGTTCTTATACCCATCCTCTAAATTGGAGCATCTTATTGATATTGTTATTTGTAAACAAGTTATGATTATATTAAAATGTTCAAGAAATGTACAGAAATTACAGAATATAAAATGCATCATTGAACGTAAAATTTGCTATGTTGTACGTAGTACGTTTGTAAGACGGTGCAGGCAACACATGCGGGTGTGACGTCCTCTTGCAAAGATTCACATCGTATCCGCATAATATAATATATACCGTACATTTTAAAATAATGATGAGAATTAAATAGGTTGATGTGATTTYGACACAGAAATACAGAGTGTAATATATGTAGYAACAATTCGCAATGGTTATCGTACGAGGACGGACGCGGTGGACGCGCCGAATAGGTAATTCCTGTTGAAAAGCGGTGTACTTATATAATGGCAAGAAATGTTCGACTCGATAGAGAAGCGAAGCAAAAGCAGTTGATTTCGCGACTAATCTACAATTTACAAGTTTTGTTAACTCCGAAAACTTCCAGACTGGAAATCCTGTTCGTGTAAGTCCTGAGGTAGGTACGCGTAAAAACCATCTGCGAGGATGAGATAAAGAGAACTTCTTTTTTCGTTTCTCACTCGGCTCACTGCAGGCATCACCGGGAAACCGGAAGCCRTATAATCGCGGGCACACTGCAGCTATATATACGCGCTCACACTCGCGGTAGAGTAGCCGAAAACGAAGTTTGGACACAATATAGGTACGACTTGTGTAGGTATAATATAACCTGCAGCAGCTGGTGTGTCGTTTCGTGAGGGATTTTACCGGTATAGTTTAAATCAGTGGGTCTGATAAGGTATACCTATTATATGTTTTTCGTTGTAATCTTTCGATCCAGACGAAAAATTCAAAAGGCTCCGATGGTTTATTGTCTTGAAAAATCGAATACACGTAGGTTCCTATGCATATTAATTATATRATTTTACATTCCTGTCAACGTTAATATCATGCAAATTGAACACACTCTTTCATCTACTATGTATATATATTATAGATTATCTTTGAATGATAATTTTTTTTTACGACTCCTTTCAACGCGCACTCCTTGCCGTCCTTGAATACGACAGGTAATTATAAATAAAATACTTTACATTAATATATATAATATGTTACACGGCTAACATTAAAGATTTACTCTCAGATAAACCATAAATAAACATTCAAAAATTTTTATATGAACTATAATGAGCCGAATGAGTCGTGTATATAGTTATAATAATTAAATTTAAACAAGCCAAGTAAAATAGTCGAATAAAATAACGAAAACAATCCATCTACACCAATAATAATAATAATAATAATAATAATAATAACAGCTAGGTAATAATTATTATAATAATAAAATATTATAGACTCGCTATAGTTTAAATTTAGGGATACTAAAATTTAACAATCATCAACGTATTATTACATGCAGTAGCCACCTCCGATAAACTATCCGAGTCTTGGTAGGCACCTACGAATTTGAAGTTAGTTCATTTTTTTTTTTTTTGTAAGTTCATTTTAAAACAATACTTTTATTTATTTTGTATTTCACCGTTACGGGGGTGGGGGGGCGTGTTGTGGTTGATGGTAATAACCATAATATAATTATTGCAACAGCACAACATATGCAGTGTTGTAGCAGTAGAACTAGTTTTATAGTTAAAAATGGTAGTAGTAGCTAAAGTAGTAGTAGTAGTGGAAGTATTAGTAGTAACTATAGTAGTAATTAGTAATTATTGTATAGTCGTTTGGATTCGAGATATATAATTATGCATTTAATCGTGGTATCTATTGTAGAATGCAGTCGTAGTTAGGCACATACACGAATATAATAATATTATGACATTCCTACACACACCCTGTACATCAGTAGTGGTAGTTATTATCAATTTTTTTCCGTTAGATGTTTTTTTTTTTTTTTTTTAAATAACATTTTTCCTTGTTATGATATCGAACACGAGTTGCGCTTCGATCTCCCGCCGCCACCTCCACCGCCGCCTCCACCGCTGTCATCTTTGCCGCTCGCCTTTTTCTGCAGGTGAGCAAGTTGCGCCGGCGTGGGCACCATCGACCCCTGGCCCGAACCGCCGCCGGACGGCAACGACTGTCTTCGCGCCGAGTTCCGCCGCAACGACGGGCCCAGGTCGTACTTGATCTTCGCCTGGTTCAATAGTTCCTTGAACACTTCGCCCACGTTTATGTTGTCCTTTGCAGACGTCTCCACGAAACCGTTTTCCCAGTCCACTTCCACCAGACACGAAGTCTCCTCGTATGGCACCTGTGGACAAAACAACGTGACAGTTATAATATACAAATAAACCGATATCATAATATCGTACTGCAAATGAGCGTGATCATATAATAATAATAATATCGATAGGTGCACAATTTATTTTGTGGTTTCGATTTGAAATGCCTAAAAATAACAAAAAACGCATTTATGATGACCTATAGACTTGTGAAAAAATGTGCTTAAAAAGTTCGTTGTTATAGCATCATAATGTGTACTTGAAACGAATTAGTATATCTTACCAAGCATCGTGTAAAGCAATCAGRGGCGGATCTTCAATATTTTGATAAGGGGGACAGATATAAATTGTATAATTTTAATTTTAGTTAATGGTTATAAATTATAATTTTAAATAGATATCGATAAGGCACTAAAGTTGTAAATCCTCTTTTATCAGTTTAAATGCAAATAATAATTTTGATAACTAATAGTTGGCATAGGTACTATATTATTCTTAATAACTAAATTTTTCATTTATATGACACTTGAAGTTACTTAAGAAAAGTTTTCGATAGAAAATTGACAGGAGGCACGTGTTCCTATACCACTCAGCCCCCYTGAATCTGCTACTGCAAGCAATAATTTTCCTAAATTGATATGGGATTTTTTCAGAAATCAAGATCAATGATTTGAGAATCGTTTTATTTACAATCCAGATCGCCTTATATTATGGTTATTGTCTTACTACAATACGTGAACTTATATATTATTATGCTTTTACTTTTTTTCGTAATATCACTAGAAATAAATTGTAAAATTACCTAAAAAAAAAAAATTATAAATACCCCCTAAAAAGTTAAAAAAATTAAATATTCAAAAATGGTCTCTGAATAGTTAATTTTTAGCATATAGATAATTATGTACTTRAAACATATTTGTTTGTTGTTTCTTGAAAAGCCAAAGCTTTGTATGGTCAAGTATTATTTAAAAAAAATAGATGCAAATACATCAAAATTCGACCACTATTATTGTTATCGCATACAATACGTAAGTTCTACTAATATTTTTATTATTCAGCTATTGTTATCACTTATCAGGACTATTGGGACGTGATCATAATTTCACGTAGTTTTTTTCTCAATTGTTAAAATTAAATTTTACATTGTTGTGAATTGAAAACTTGAAAATGTGCATTTTCTTCAAATCATAATTAAAATTAAAATTAAAAGCTGCAAATGTTTCGTACTATCGTCCTATACGTACCTATATAAACATTTTTCTGCTGAATTCAAATATTTTTCAGAATCAAAATCAGACAGCGTTAACTAACTTTAATTTTTGTTAAAACAATTGGTAAATTGTCATGAAATTCGTATTGTGAATTTTATATTGTTATTGAGCAATTAATATGTGCATGTGCGTACGAGAGTARYAACTTATAATAATTTACAACAATCAAATAGATCTAGGATGGCTAAGACGAGATTAGAAAATCGCCTTAAATGATAGCCGYGTTAGCGATGAGGCCCTTTAATACAACTAATWAAAATTTAGTTTATATACTGCAACARGTGTCATATTTTAATCATTCACTACCCATGTATATTTGAATACGAATTTATGCAAATAACCTAAAAGTCTAAGTACACTGTGAACAGTATRAAATAGCTATGGAAATAAACAATTGAATTATAAAAGTTAATGTGCCCATTTCCTTTAGCATATGTACCTACTGATATTGCTATAAAATGTAACTATGATATTTTGCGGCGGTATATAGCGTGTTTACTGGTTAGGTATAGACTATAGGCTCGGGCCTGTCCAATTTTTTTTTGACTGGTTGGTTTTTTTTGCCACAAGTAAAAATGTTATGACTAATATTAAATAGGCGAATGACGTTTATTCTAAAAATTAATATTATTTTTTATTTTATAATTTTGTTAATTTTCAAGTTGTTTTCTCTTAAAAGTCCATAAATAATTAAGACTGAAGTTATAAATACTAGTATATTGCTCTCAGTAATAATTATAATCAATATTGTTAACATTTTTTGCGTTTTAAATATTGTCAAAAAATAAAAAAATAGCCATGTTACTAAAAGGATAACAGCCAAAAATGGAAACCAAAAAATTCGGTAAACGGACAATTTGTAGTTTGTACTATCTATTGTTTGAGTTAGGACTGGATATATGAAGAAAATTCACGAAGCACGAGTTTATTACAATAAATATTTTTATTATTTTTATTTATGTCTGTCAACTAACTGTGTTTTGTAATTTTTGTAACAATAAATTATGTGATGTTCGTAATTTTTTTTTTTTTACCTGAAATAGTACAAACTGTACGAGGTTTTAATTTTTTCTAGGTGACCGCACAAAGTGCCCTACAACTAAACAATTCACTACCGATATGTCATGTGATAGGACAAAATATCTTCCCTATAGTATAGTTATAAATACATTACAGAAAAAAAACGGGCCTACCCAATAATTTTGTGCTGAACACGCCACTAGATATACATGCATGGCTATTTTATTATATACGATTTACTAGGTCATTTATTTTATATTCTGTGTACCTATACTCTGTAACAGGTTGTGTCTATGTTGAATTATGTATTTATTTAAACTTGTTGCATTGTCTTCTCAAGTCACCATGTCACATAATACTACCTATCATAGCGGTCGTATATTATAACCAAGTCGAGTCGGTCGGTTATAGTAGATTACCAGGTTACCTGCTCATCAGTTATCGGCGGGGTGGTGTCGCGGTATACTGCAGAGCAATACCAAATATTATGTTTAAACGTACTAATATGTACGACTGTCGCGGATCGTAAAGCGTGACTGTATTTACTTTATAAAAAAAATGCTCTTTCTCATAATATTTACTGGAAAATATAACAATCATGACGACGACTTACTTATACACACCATCACCAGAATATTATTTATACATGTCACGTTCACGTCAAGCAATGTATGCAATGTATACACCGGTTGTATCTATATAGTATATATACGTACAGTGAAAAGAAGGAAAAATTACAATTGTGTTTGGGCGAATTCTGAGTTGAATGCAAACGAAACGATTTGCATAAAACATATWTTATATATACCTAAGTACCCACCACCTCTRTTTATATAATATAACAAACAAACGTTTTACCCCGCAGGCCGTTGTGTATATATTTACATTATTTATATAGTTGGCTGACGGACGCACATTTTTTTTTTGTAAAATCTCATCTATGAAACTGACATCAAAATATAATGTACCTATCTAAATCGTATAATATTTTTATTTAATTTTTTTAATTTTAAATGAGCCTCAACAACAAAGGTTATTGGCCTTTAACATTAATATTTTTAAATAATTTTTACATAAGAATGAATCATTAACAATAATATATACAAAACAAAGGTAATAGTATGAACAAAAAAGGATTGAGATATATCTAGGTTAAATAATTTGATATAGTTTAGTTTGTTTTAAATAACTGATTAATTTTTCAATGATGCTTGGCTGGGGACTTAGAGCTTCTTCCAGATCGTCTTCTATGTTGAGCTTGGTTCTGATGTCGGTGAATTTACGGCAGTGGCATATATTAGATGTTCAACCGTGGAAGTTTCACCGCAAGTTTGACATTGGTATTGGTCGTATAATATTATACGACATTAAAAGATATTATTACAATATAATAATATGTACCTATAGTACAGCGTATTACTGTCTATATTATTATTACAGATTTGTTAATTTTCAAATGATTTGGTATAAAATATTGTATCGATCATTATCATATTATTTAAATATAAAAATTCGACGACATTGTTGTTAAATTTTAATCATATGCAGGTAAGTACATACCTACCTCAAAACACAATTATATGCATCAATGTAAATTGCAAACTATTAAATTATTATATTCTATGCGTAGAGGTAGATATGTTATATGATATAATATAAAATTGAGAAATTAATTAATTTTTCAAAGTTGTTTCAAAATGAGTTTTATTGCTATTAAAATTTCTCGATTTTCGAAATGTATCATTATTGTGCAGCGCTGCAGTCTTCCAGTTGATAGCTACCTACCAGATACCTGATACCTATACATAATAATCAATAATATACACCTATATTAAAATATATTCTATATTTAAGTGTTTTATTATGATTATTATAAGCACCTTTGTATAATCGTTTTCGCACGACTCTTCTATGCTCCATGTGTGTAAAATAAAAACGATAGTTATAAAATCAAACCTTGCAAGCGCGTACATAAAATATACAAAAATCCTAAAATTGTTCACAAATCTAACGCATTAACTTTATCAATAGACACCATAATAAACTTATGGTAATGTTATGAGGCCATTAAACATAATATTATCTTTAGGTAACTTTTTTTGAAAACAAAAACAAAAGTGAAAATTATATAAAAATACTAATAGTACCTCTAGTAACCTTTAGTAACCATCTTTAACAGTGGCGTATATAGAAATTAATTTCCGGGTGGGTAGGGTTGACCCTCCCCCTAAATACGCCACTGAAGTCTTTAGTACCTTTAGTAACCATCTGCAGTAATACCTTTGGCGAGTGTGCGCTAAAAATGTTTTAAAAACTTATATCTAGATAGAAAAAATAAATAAATTATGCAAACGCTTTAGGTTGTTGAAAAAGCAATTTATAAAAAACTTGTATTACATTTTCTGATATTCAAGCGTAGGCTATTGCATATTGTAAACACTAGCTCTTATTTGCCGATCCAGAGGCACCAGCCTACTATGGGAAACACTGAAATAAAAGGGTAACAAGATTGTCTCAGTATAGGACACTATAGACACCACTACATAGTTTCAAGGGGTGAGGTGATCTCATATACTCGTATATATCATATTATTACGCTWATATCAACAATATAAATAAAAACACCTTGTTGTACCCTGTATATGATATTTATATACATATATTATGATGTAATCGCTGGTTGACGCAATGGCCTATACGTGACTGTGGGAAATGCGTTGGTCAGCAAATTCTAGGGT